ATTGAGGAAAGCTGCAAACCTGTGATCGCAGGTGGTCTTTTTTCCCTTTTGGAAAAGCTTTTTTAGTTTATTGACCGAAAGGAAGAATATTGATTTAGAAGGGGAAGGAGATTTTTTTTTGACAGAAATTATAATTGTGAATCTTTGGGTTGACAGTGAATCAATTCAAAAGCAATTGTTGCAAATTCGGTTCAGTACATACTTCGAACAACAACTAGTATTTCTTTAATGTATATTTTTAATGAATGGCGATTCAATTAATTATTAGCATTTTAAACCAATCATTGAGCAACACAAACAATTCATAAGAATGTTGCATATGAATTGGCAGGATTTGTTATCAGTGCAGAGAAAAACCAAATGAAACTTTACGTCTTATTAAGAAGGAATGAAGAAGAATGACTTGTCAATTATAAACTCTCCTTTTAGTTTTTTTTGTCCATGCATTATAAATGTCATAAACCTCGTATCTGTGTAGCACTGACCTGATTGTCTATGAAGTGTTGAGGTGGTTACTGTGGGAATACTTTGTGACTCCAACCCACTTGAGTGTTAGAAGAAAATTGGAGAGATCAAATACCCTTTATCTCACTCAAATCGGCAATGACTTGAAAGCCATCAGTGACGCCTTCAGATGCATCTGCAGTGAGGAAGAATACAGTTAGAAGAGCAGAGAAAACTATTCCCACTCTTTTTATATTCTGAGGAATCAGTGTGAGTGAGTTGAATGTGGGTGGTTAGAAAATGCTGCTGATGATAGATCATCATTGATTGGTTGTGTATCAGGATTACACGATTTGACCATAATAGTGGTAAGTCCAATTTCTCTTGAAGTGAGCATAAACTCCTTTATGCTTAATATAAAGAGTTTTGCAGTAGCATCAGGCAGAAATTTTCTCAAAGCTTTTGAGAGTAAACTATTGAGTGATTTTATAGCATTTTCAAGAGTGTCATGGTACTGTCGTGAACATGCTTTGAAGACTAATGCGGAAGAGAAGAAATTGTTGAATAAAGTTGTTATTTTTGTTTTCTTTGCACACAAAATATATTCTCATAGCTTCATAAAATTAAGGTTGAACCACTGATGTCACATGGACTATTTTAATGATGTCCTTCCTACCATTCTGAGCCTTGAATGTGGTAGTTCCTTTGCTGTCTTTATAGGTTCAGAAAGCTCTCGGATTTCTTTAAAAATATCTTAATTTGTGTTTCAAAAATGAACAAAGGTCTTATGGATTTGAAAGAACATGAGGGTGAGTAATTAATGGCAGAATTTACATTTTTGGGTGAACTATCCCTTTAATGTTCTGGGATAGTGAATGGCATATATTGACATCCTGCTCGCTCAGGTTCTAGACCTCAATTGAAAACATGATAAATGTTGGCGATATGTAAAGCAGGTCCTGGCAAAATCTATTCTAATATGGTGATTAGAAATGAGCCATTAAAACAGATTGCCTTCCCATCTGCATGGATTGGCCTGCTTTGGCAGACAGCTGGATCCTGAGCGAGAACACACGACTGGATACACTTTTATCATGAAGCAGCACTCTCTTTGCAGAGGTCGTTTTCTTATCGTGAAGATGATGTTTTGCCAGAAGCTTAATTTTGTTTTCATATATTACATTTTGTTCTGCCTATTGAATTTTGTTCAAGAAAGTGAGCGAGTGCAACACAGTTCTTGAACTTAATTACATTGCAGCCAATTTAATTTGTGAAAGGGAAATTTACTTAATTAATTTGCATTGAGACTGTATACATTTTCCTAGTCCATAACCGGATATATAGAAATCCAGATCCAGACTGACACCGCTGTAATTTATGTACTATTATAATATTTTGAATTAGCATTATTTTCCATTTTCATTTTAACTTTAATTTGTGTTCATTAATATTGATATGTGCTTTTGCTATTTTTGTTTTTGTTTGTTTATTTTAGAACTTCAATTTACATAGTTGCCAAGGCATAATTTCTCATTTTCAAGTTTTTTTATGTTCAAGTTATTCATCTAATATTTATATTTTATTAATATATTTTATTATTTAGTTTTATTTAGCAATAACAACACTGATATTTAGTTAATTTAATCTAGTATTTTGTTATATTAGACCACAGTGAGTGAACATGTTACATCTTCCCTGCACACAGTATGTATTCATACAGTACAGATTTCCTAGCTGTGAAATTCATTGCTAGATGTTTCTGCTTGGCCTTATTGCCGTGGAGCTGTTTTTAGTCTCTAGTGTTTGTATCTCCTGATATGGCTAGCATCATGTTTGTCTTTTGGCATAATGACCTTTCGCCACACATAGTGTTACACAGGGAGCTGTCATATCACCATAAAAACGCAGTCTTTCCGTTATACTGCTGTTCAGTGAGGCCTCTAGAGGAGACAAAGGACATTAGATGAACTGTAGACAGTGTATGTGTTCAGACAGACTATATTACAGTACATTATATATGACTATATGCTTAATTATTGACAAAGCAATGCCATTTTATGATCGTGGGAGGGGCCTGTCTTTGTGATGTCACACAGACAGGCATCTGAGATCGGCTCGATTTGAGAAAGGGGAAAACATTTAACCAGATTTAAAAAAAAAACACTGGGTGGATTTTTATCACTATAGGGTGGTTGTGTACACAAACTACCAACACACATTTCAGTTCAAACAACTTGTAAAAGTGCATGTAGCATCCTATGACCACTTTAAGATAAGATCGTCTTACAACCAGAGCTCATGCTATGCACTGTGAAACTAGTCAATAAAACAGCTCAGCACTGTCCACATATTACTACTGTGAGATACAGTAATATACAGCATCTTTAAAAGGACTTTGGTTGGATTTCCCAAATCCCTAAGGAAAATGTAAACACAGTAGGATGTTAGGGTTGCATTACCTTTAAAGCTTTTTTTCCTCGTCGACATTATCTGCGTAGCACATAAAAACCTTTATAATCCTCACAGGACTCCTAAATCTGCAAGATGAAATGTGAAGAGGCCTGACTGTAGATTAACAATGCAATGATCCTTCCAAAAAGCCACGAATGTGAGTGACGTTCAGTCCTCAAAATTAATTACCTTCCTTTTAGTCATGTACTGTAATGTGTGTTTTTTTAATGGAAATGTTGTTCCAAAGCTGTACGACTTTCTTTTTCATGCAGATTTGACATACAGTGAGAGTGAGAGTTCAACATGTGTCTATAGTAGCGAACCATGCAACATTTCAATATTCACACACCGAAACATTTCAAGACTCAGAATAGTTGTGTGTATTGCACTATTGAAGGTGTGAATTGGGTTGATTGTCAAAGTAAAGATGTTAGAACAGTGTCGATTCTTTCCTCCTTAAAATAGGTTGTGCTTTTGCATAGTAGTGTTGCATGACATCTGAGATAGATTTTCCCCTTTTTAGTGGGTTTTATTTGATTGTCGCTAACATTGTTATATCTCCTCCCTGATTTTGCTTCTAGGAAAACCATTAAAAATGGCATTTTTATCACCGTCAAAGCCATTACTCTGTGCACAGAGCTTGTAAACTCTCTCACTTTCACACACATGCAGTCAGTCTATGTCGAGTTGTTTTTCCAGCTCTTCTCTTTTCAAGGCTCCAGTGCTCTTAATTGGATTTGCCCAGATGAAGGGTGACACAATTACACAGGCAATGGTAAATTTCACAACTTGTGCTCAGAGAGGCACATCAATTTCTTGCCATCAAACACGATCGGCAGTTAAAGCCTAGTTTTTGCATCCATATTAGTTATTTTCTATGAAGAAAGACAATATCCTGTTCACATTTATGTATCCAAATGCCCAATTCACCTCAAGATTGTTAACATTAGTTAATGCATTAGGTATCACAAACTAACAATTAATAAAACTTTTACAGCATTTATTAATCCCGGTCAGTAGTAATTTCTAAATATACTAATATATCTTTTACGTTTCAAGTTCATATGTTCAATAATACTGTTACTTTGAAAGTTTGAAGACAGTAAGAAAGAAAGGAATACTTTTATTCAGCAAAGACAGATCAAAATTGACAAGAAAGACGTTTACATTGTTACAACTCTTTCTATTGCAAATAAATGCTGTTTTTAACATTTTAACATAATAAAAAAGAAGAAGAAGAAGAAATGTTTCTTGAGCAGCAAATCAGTATATTAGAAGGATTTCTGAAGGATCATGTGACACTGAATATAAAATATATTCAAATATATATTGAAATAATATTTCTTACTAATATTTCTAACTGTTTTTCAAATCCTTGGCAGCTTAAGGAACATCTTTCAAACTAATTATTTTTGAATGGTATCGTACATGAATTATGAGCAATAGCAAAATGAACATTATCCTCAATTAATAAATACTGCAAAAAATGTTGTTCATTATTAGTTTGTGTTATCTAAGCATTTAACCACTATTAGCAAATTTAACTTTACACTATATTGAAGTGTTACTGAAAACATTGTATGCAAAACCTGCTTCCACCCATGACTAAACCTCACCCACCCACATGATGATGGAAATGTGATTCAGCTGTTCATGAGTGATACTTGTCCAAACACAGGTCTGTCTTCGTCCACACTGTCAGGCTTTGAGACATCTAAATCCTTTGTGGTGCTCTGAGAGTCAATCTCCTCATTAAAATGTAATTTTGTATCCGATACAGCAGCCAGGCGGCCCAACCTACAGGGAGGTCAATGCACAGAAGACCCCGCTATTGTTCATCTGTTACGTTTAACTTTTTCATTGTTTCCTTAAATGCCAGACCACAGAGAAGAACATAGTCATTTCTTGTGTCTCTGTAAGTTATGTAAAGAAGTTACATTCAGCTGTTCGAAGGACTTTTAATGGTGTAGGAAGAGCTGTGTATGTGTGTGTGTGTGTGTGTGTGTGTGTGTGTAAGAACTGTCCTCCTCCTCCTCGCTGGGCTGTTTTTAGAGGCACACAATTTTCTTGTGTCTCTGTAAGTTATGTAAAGAAGTTACATTCAGCTGTTCGAAGGACTTTTAATGGTGTAGGAAGAGCTGTGTATGTGTGTGTGTGTGTGTGTGTGTGTAAGAACTGTCCTCCTCCTCCTCGCTGGGCTGTTTTTAGAGGCACACAATGTGTGTTGGGTGAGGTCCAGAGTCTCTCAGGACAAGCATGATTTTGCAGCATTCATCATTTATGAATGATGATTACCATCGGCTAAATTTAGTGCTCTGTATGTGTGTGTGTTTTCTCTCTAATGCATCCTAGAGCTATTTCAGTTGGGATGTCCCCAGATGGATCCAATCCCCCGCAGCGCGGTTAATCTCACATGTGTAGTTGTCAAGCACTGGTCCTGTCAGCTGGTTCTGCAGGTCCATAATTTTTATTTGGTTATGGGAAAACACCAGAAGCTCCTCCCCTTATGCCCCGCCCACACTGCTTGCTCTGTTCCTGGACAGGCAGTGACCCGTGAAAGGGGACGTTGTGGAGGTCTTACCGACGTCTTACGCAGTGCAGGGAGGAGAACTCCCTGGAAGTCCCATGGCATGAACAATGGGTTCCTCACCATCTGGGTCCCCTCCCTCACCCCCGTAGGACTGGATCATGTCTCCATCCACCAGCCGACCCCTCAGCGAGCCCTCGTTCCGTGTGAGTAAATGAAATGAGGCGTTCCTACCTCTCTCTCCATCCACTAATCCCAAATTCACTAGCTAGGGGTTAGTAGGGCACATAGAGGTTAGCTCAGGATTTGGCAGGGAACGTGCCTGCTGCTATTTTTGTTCTCAAACATATCTCTGACTCATCTTTTTACAGTCTGTAGAATGAGGATATTTTGTATGTCCACTCTCAATGATAACAGTGATACAAAGTGAGTGGCTGTGGTTACAATAGCTTCCCTGAGACAAGATAATCTGCGTTATTCAATTAAAGTGACCCGGATTACAGTCTGACACACTGAAACTGCACCGAACACACTCTCTCTCTTTTGGAAATGTGTGTTTTGGATACTCCAGACATATGTATTTAGGTGTTGAGGGATTAGAAGTATACAGTTGGAGATTTGATAGTGTGAACACTAACTAGAAATGCCCTACACCCTATTCAACTGGGTGAAAGTCTGTCACAGGGCTTTGGATACTTTCTAGATGAAATAATTGGTTATTATATAGAACAAAATGATGTGGTCTTAGGGTGTCCATATGCTTATTTGGCTTTTAGTTTTAAGTGAATCCAGATCTCGAGCTTGATTCCCAAGCGTGTAATCCAATTTTACCCCTGACCTCAACTGATATGCTTTCATTTCATTTATCACGGTTAATTAAAACTTTAATTACACTAATGTACCCAGCAACGAACATGTAAGAAACATTTTAGAAATATTGAGATTGTACTGTAGAGTTTAATAAAGTGATTTCACTTCTATCAAGTAGAATTCTTCAACAGAAAACAAAAAAGCTAAAACTGATTTTAGAAATATTTTTAAGTATTGCAAATGTTTTTATAAAGAATATATTTTGAAATATTATAAAAAAAATGTAATAACTGTTTACTATTTTAATATATTTTTAAAATGTAGTTTATTCCTGTGATGGCAAAGCTGAATGGCAGTCTTCAATCACATGATCCTTCATAAATCATTCTGATATGATGATTTTGTTATGAAGACATTTTTTTTGTCATTATCATTGAATATTTGTATTCAATAAAAGATTACAAAAACAGCATTAATTTGAAATATAAATCTTTTGTAACAATATACAAGTCTTTACTGTTGCTTTTGTGCTAATGACTAAATTTAACTGATAAAACAAAAAAATTACATGCATTTGGTGCTTAATGAATATATGTGTATTTTTTTTTGAGAAAGAAAAGAAAGAGTTGACTGAGTAAGAAAGCAGTAATGTTTTGCTGTGTGTCAGCTATACTGCGCATATGGAGAAGTTGCTGTTTTCAAATTCCATAATGAACTCTAGTGAACTTTGGACAGATTCTCTTGATGTCTAATGCCTTTAAAACTATTTGGAATCCTTAAGCATTTAAAATGAGTCTTTGAGGAGGTAAGATGAGATGCTATGCAGAGATAAAGAGGAGGATTGCATGCTTGTAGAATGACTGCAGGGTGGAGATTGAATGTCCCCTGCTTCCTGCCCCCACGTGAACTGCACTCACATTAGCACAAGTGTGTGTGTGTACAGTTTGAAATGGATCCTTCTTAAGGGCTTAATGGCTGCAATATAAAGCTGTTGTTGATTGCAAAGTAGATGCTGAGACCGCTTTGTATGATTTTCCCATCACATCTCTTCATTTTCTTGTCAGGTTTTAAAAATTGACCTTTAAAATGTAATTTGTTTTCTTCTCTGGCAGTGGCAATCAACTTGACGGCATCTTAAAAAATGCTGTGCGGATGAGGCAAGACAACACAAAAATAGGGAGGAAGGCACTATTCAACCTCAGAAAAATCAACTGCAAAAATGATTGGTGTGATTGTTGGTCAGTGTTAGGCTTATACTTTATATTTCGACAGCCACATTCTATATTATCTACTCATCTGCCACAGTGATGTACAATAATATCTTCAAATTGTCCTTATTTATTTGGGTTTTTCTTTTAATTTCTAATTACATGAAATGACTTAATTTCACTCAAATATTACTGAAAGTTCCTTGTACTTTTTAGAAAAAAAGTTATGCATATAAGCTGAACTTAAACTGAATGAGCTGCAGCAGATTTCTAGTCCCCAGCATTCTTTTCATTAGATTATTTAAAGAGAATAAATGTTGAAATTAAGTGTTATTTTGTGTATAGGGAGATATCTGCTCCGGGTGTGTGTTCACGGTGTGTGTGTGTTCATTGCTGTGTATGTGCACTTAGGATGGGTTAAATGCAGAGCACTAATTCCGAGTATGGGTAACCATACTTGGCCACATGTCACTTCACTTCACTTCACTTCACATATGTTAAACATGTTTAATGTTTATTGTTATGATGGGATTTATAGGATTTTCTGTTATGTTGCAGTTTCGATGGGCTGTACAAGTTAATATAGTTATATAATGAGTTAACATGATGTTTATGTGATCACATTTATGAGTTGGTTTAGCCCATAATTAAATTTAATTACAAATAACATGCATGTTATTTGTAATTAACTTTAATTATGGGCTAAACCAACTCGTAAATAAATTTAATTACAAATAACATGCATGTTATTTGTAATTAAATTTAATTACAAATAACATGCATGTGTAGTGTAAAATTAAAATGTAAAGTTCTTAATCTTTAGTAGAAGTAACTTGAAAAAAATTGATGTCGCTGATTACTGAGTTCTGCTAACTTGTTAGGGTTTACAGTGCAACAGCTATTAATATTTACATTTACATTTACATTTAGTCATTTAGCAGACGCTTTTATCCAAAGCGACTTACAAATGAGGACAATAAAAGCAGTCAAAACTAACAAAAGAGCAACAATATATAAGTGCAAATGACAAGTCTCAGTTAGCCTAACGCAGTACACGTAGCAAAGTGTATATAGAAAAAATTGAAAGCCAGTGTTTGTTTTTTGTTGTTTTTTTAAAAAAGAATAAAAAAGATAAATATAGATAAAGTAGAATTAAAATAGAATAGAAAGTGCTAGAGTTAGAGGGTCAAATAAAGGTGGAACAGATGTGTTTTTAGTCGTTTCTTGAAGATGGTTAAGGACTCAGCTGCTCAGATTGAGTTGGGCAGGTCATTCCACCAGGAGGGAACAGTTAATGAAAAAGTCAGTGAAAGTGATTTTGTGCCTCTTTGAGATGGCACAATATTTTTTTGTCATTATCATTGAATATTTGTATTCAATAAAAGATTACAAAAACAGCATTAATTTGAAATATAAATCTTTTGTAACAATATACAAGTCTTTACTGTTGCTTTTGTGCTAATGACTAAATTTAACTGATAAAACAAAAAAATTACATGCATTTGGTGCTTAATGAATATATGTGTATTTTTTTTTGAGAAAGAAAAGAAAGAGTTGACTGAGTAAGAAAGCAGTAATGTTTTGCTGTGTGTCAGCTATACTGCGCATATGGAGAAGTTGCTGTTTTCAAATTCCATAATGAACTCTAGTGAACTTTGGACAGATTCTCTTGATGTCTAATGCCTTTAAAACTATTTGGAATCCTTAAGCATTTAAAATGAGTCTTTGAGGAGGTAAGATGAGATGCTATGCAGAGATAAAGAGGAGGATTGCATGCTTGTAGAATGACTGCAGGGTGGAGATTGAATGTCCCCTGCTTCCTGCCCCCACGTGAACTGCACTCACATTAGCACAAGTGTGTGTGTGTACAGTTTGAAATGGATCCTTCTTAAGGGCTTAATGGCTGCAATATAAAGCTGTTGTTGATTGCAAAGTAGATGCTGAGACCGCTTTGTATGATTTTCCCATCACATCTCTTCATTTTCTTGTCAGGTTTTAAAAATTGACCTTTAAAATGTAATTTGTTTTCTTCTCTGGCAGTGGCAATCAACTTGACGGCATCTTAAAAAATGCTGTGCGGATGAGGCAAGGCAACACAAAAATAGGGAGGAAGGCACTATTCAACCTCAGAAAAATCAACTGCAAAAATGATTGGTGTGATTGTTGGTCAGTGTTAGGCTTATACTTTATATATCGACAGCCACATTCTATATTATCTACTCATCTGCCACAGTGATGTACAATAATATCTTCAAATTGTCCTTATTTATTTGGGTTTTTCTTTTAATTTCTAATTACATGAAATGACTTAATTTCACTCAAATATTACTGAAAGTTCCTTGTACTTTTTAGAAAAAAAGTTATGCATATAAGCTGAACTTAAACTGAATGAGCTGCAGCAGATTTCTAGTCCCCAGCATTCTTTTCATTAGATTATTTAAAGAGAATAAATGTTGAAATTAAGTGTTATTTTGTGTATAGGGAGATATCTGCTCCGGGTGTGTGTTCACGGTGTGTGTGTGTTCATTGCTGTGTATGTGCACTTAGGATGGGTTAAATGCAGAGCACTAATTCCGAGTATGGGTAACCATACTTGGCCACATGTCACTTCACTTCACTTCACTTCACATATGTTAAACATGTTTAATGTTTATTGTTATGATGGGATTTATAGGATTTTCTGTTATGTTGCAGTTTCGATGGGCTGTACAAGTTAATATAGTTATATAATGAGTTAACATGATGTTTATGTGATCACATTTATGAGTTGGTTTAGCCCATAATTAAATTTAATTACAAATAACATGCATGTTATTTGTAATTAACTTTAATTATGGGCTAAACCAACTCGTAAATAAATTTAATTACAAATAACATGCATGTTATTTGTAATTAAATTTAATTACAAATAACATGCATGTGTAGTGTAAAATTAAAATGTAAAGTTCTTAATCTTTAGTAGAAGTAACTTGAAAAAAATTGATGTCGCTGATTACTGAGTTCTGCTAACTTGTTAGGGTTTACAGTGCAACAGCTATTAATATTTACATTTACATTTACATTTAGTCATTTAGCAGACACTTTTATCCAAAGCGACTTACAAATGAGGACAATAAAAGCAGTCAAAACTAACAAAAGAGCAACAATATATAAGTGCAAATGACAAGTCTCAGTTAGCCTAACGCAGT